GTTGAGGACACAGTACACCCTTGTGGCACGTCGATTCGACGTGGAACTTACGTGGAAAGGTAGATTGCCAGGTTCAGGCTGCCACGGGCTCCGCGCACATGGCCGAGCGTTCAACTTCCGCAATGCCGGTCTCATAGACATGACAGCATATACCCCTGCCATCTACCTTTCCACCTAAGTTCCACGTCGAATCGACGTATCTGTGCCACACGGGACCTTCTCCTTCCCCTGACCCTCGAGCCAGGTGGAGTCAAACAAAACACGAAAGTACTCGGAACGGGCCATGAGGATGCACTTGTGACATGGGAATTCCTTCCCGTCTCGACTCAGAAGGGTTATATCTGCCAAGCTAGACCAGGCACCGTGGGCGAACCATCCGCTTCTTGGTGGATCCAACAACACGTCTGAAACATGAATTGCAGCGTTTCTTCGCATCCCATTTATATCAAACATTTTGCGAGATATGGATCCGTGTAATTTACCTGGAGCAGGCTGTACAACGCTGAAATCAGACAATTCCTAGGCTGCGAGGTACTTGATTAATTGCATAAGCTGTAGTTTCTCGGCAGCTTCTTTTGCCTGGCGTGAGAGAGCAGTCGACCTATTTAACAGTTAATGAAAGCTTATGAGAATAAGTTAAACGTGTCTCAGTTTCATGCTTAAGTGGGAGGGCACAAAGTGAGACCAATCTCCCATGTAGACGTAGCGAAGAATATATGGGAACATCTGATGACTCATCCCGTCCAGAACTATGTCGGCTTTCGAGTTCATTTCAGACAGGTTTCGGAAATATTCGCACATCTCCATCAGTATGAGACGATGAGCAGGAAATCTCTCACCCTCAACCTATACCATTGCATTATGTCTGGTTTACTGATACTGGTGACACAATATTACAGATGGTATACTGATCTCTCACAATCAGAGCGATATCTGGTGACAACTCCTCTGCGTTTTCAAGGAGAAATGCCATGTCCTTTTTCATTGTGGATTGAGATACGTGGGATCCGTAATTCTCTTCATCTAGTTCTTGGTTACTATCCCAGCATTTCCTCGGGTGCTCCTGGTAGAGAATCCGAAGCATTTTCCATTTTTCATTAGAATTAGTGGTCAATGTAAATGAATGCCAGATATTGCTACACGGAAGGCTGGATATTCTACCTGGAGAAAAACAACATTTTCCCCTTTGGGGTCACAGAAGACTCGGAATCCCCTTTGAATGAGTGGAAACCTTGTCACGTGATTGAATGGTAGCTTCCACCTCCATGGCATCTTCCTATTTTTATTCTTGATTATGGCATTCCAGGCTGCCGAATATGCCTCGCCCCTTGATGTGACAACCATAAGATATTGCGAACTGGGAGCCAGGTCCACGATCCTCCCGAGAAATTCATCATTCCTCAATCTGAACGTGCACCTAAAGAAGGGGTAAATGACGAAAACTCAGTAACTGAAATGTTGCTTTCATTTCAGAATATAATTGACCGTAACGGTGAAATTTGGGTTCTTTATTTTAACAGGTTTTGAGCCCATACCATTTATATTTCGATGGTACTCATGTGAATGCACAATGTAAAACGCGGAAAAGAGGTACGCATCCCAACGTTGAAAGGGAAAACCAAGTGCGAGCGTTAACAATAATACAAATACCATTTTATTTTGACGTTCATATAGTTCGCAGTCACTGCATTCGTATAAGATGGACATATCAATCCCATATTGGAAATACTGAAAACACATCGTCAAAAAATGATATAGGCTTACTAGTCGCAGTAAACCTGCTGCAAACTGGAGGAATAGAAGAGCACTGCTATCGTGGAAGGAGTGTTACAAGATTACGTACCACTCAAGTAGCACACGAAGGTTTAGAATGTTTTCAAGGAACGATTCTTTTAAGTCATTGCCAACTTCATATTAACGTCTTTGGGAGCGTTTGATTGATTCCCAAAATACCTTAAATTTATAACAATCAAAAGTTTAAATCATGCATTTCCTGAACGTTCATCGATGAGATGAATTGAATGCTCCTAAATTGGACTAAAGCATTCAAAGAACGTTCTTTTCAGGATTGTCAATTTTGACACAACGTTATTGTTCAGAAGGAGTCGAATATCCGTGGCACCCAGGCCGACAATAGATGGTTGAAATAGGTCTAGACAAAACATCACATTCAGCCTGGCCTGGTCTCACATACCTCCAGGAGATCCTTTGTCTCTTATCTGTTCCCTAGGAAAAAGTCGGCAGAGACCTCAAATAAAACTTGTGCTAATGCCGAAAGCCGATATGATAATAGTCCCGCGTGTGATGAGAACGACGAACACTTTTTAGTACAACTGAGAAGAAATGTGAGACTAGTCGAAAGCCTGTGTGCACACGCAGTGATTAGACGGTGGAATTCGATTTTGTTCACTGGATGACGATTCCCGGAAAAAAATACTCCCCGATGGAAAATAATCACAGCTGAACACTCTTGGTAACTGTCCCCAGGCCCAGCCCATGTCCAATGCCGTCTATATCGCTTATCGTATTCGGAATCTGTCTTATTTGCTCAACGTAAGAAGGAACGTTCGGCCTCGATACTCGAAAGTTAAGAGGGGTCGACATCATTATTACTCTCACGCACGATTCGCTTTCTCCTAAGATCATCGGCGCAATGATATTTTCCAGCTATTTCTGTCGACGTCTCTTATGGCATGATGAAGGAATTATTTTCCACAGGAAAAAAAAGTGAAAATTTAGGTTAAAAATGCTTATACGTCCGTAAATGCCCAGAGAGACAGAAATCAGGCAGACATGAAGATGCACAACATACAAGCAATTTCAGTCACTCCTATGTAGCAATCTTTACTATATTTCGAATGTTTGTGTGTCTCTCTGTCTGTCTGACTGTACCTTATACCTCTGATCCCATGCCTCTGATCACAGTCCAACCAAACTTTGCATGGCTTCCTCATTTGGTCCGGGGATGGTCATAGACTAGGTGGCGTTTCAAAATCCGGACCTCTTAGGGCAGGACCGGTCCTAGAATAAATGGCGCCCCGGGGCATCTTCCAAGGCAAAATAATGCCCAATTATGTGAATGGAGCTTTATCTGAACAAAGGGGAAGAAAAAGAACTCAACAAAATCCCAAAAGCAAAACGGCAATGGAACACAGCGCTCCGATGTCATGTGTCAAAACTCATTTTAACTATCATTCCATGTGGCACCCTAGCACATCAATGGAGCATTAACAAAGTCCCATATTCCCTTAAGAAAATGCTAAAGTCCGATTTTTTTATGAACTCTGCATCCTAATAGCCACTTGTGTACCAAGTTTCAGATTTCTACCTTATCTGGAACATGGTTAGAATTAGCGTCAGTCACTCACTCACGATCTATTACTATTATATTTCGGAATGTTTGTGTCCGTCCTTTATGCACGGCTACGCCTCTGATCCCAGTCCGACCAAACTTTGCATGGCTTTCTCATTTGGTCCGAGGTTGGTCATCGGCTAGGTGGAGTTCCAAAATTCGGACCCCCCCCTGGGCAGGACCGGCCCTAGTTCAAACGGCGAGGAGCGCCTTCTTCCCCCCCTCCGCTCCAGGCGGTCGCTTGGCTCGCCTGCCCTAAATCTGGCCCCGCCCCGGTGTAGGTTAAAACCACCTAAGTTCGACTTAACCGTAACACTGTAACATACGTTATTGAAAAACTAAGCATTCACGAGGCCGCTTTCAGAAGTGGTTCTTCCAATCACTAGATGAACACTTTACTGAGCGAAGGACAAGCAGTGGTGATGAAGGCTTTGCACGGTTCCAAGATATTGGACTAGGGCCAATGTGATATCGCGAACAGAGGCAGTCCCATGAGAAACCGTGAGAAAGAACCTTACTTTTAAAACGTTTTACACCTGTTGTTTTTTTGCGCTCAATTCTTACTTACTAGGAAACTGGGAAGACATGGAGTCTCGTTAAGCAGAATGCACATGACTTGATCAGATTACTGTCTTACTTTCGATGTGCCCGAACTGAGGTAAGGACATTTTTCAGAACCTTATGTTCGGACATTCATCCATGCGAGTCATATTCGCGTAAATATGAGGTCCTCTATTGAGAGAAAAAATGCTTAGTTGACAAAAGCTCAGTTGAGTCCTCATTCTCAGGGAACATGTTTTTTTTTTTTTACCCCTGTCCGAACTTTCATAGTGGGACATGTAACTTCAGACATCGTCGAGCACATATGCAAAAATACAGGATCATGTGTTTCTGTGTTTCTTCCCAACAAAGCAGTGCAATCATGGTAGGAGGTTGAAATGCAAGGGATTATCGACCCAAGGCTGCTGAAAAAGTTATCAGGGCTTTAATTTCGGTGAGATATCATGTGGAAGGCCACCAATTCATACGATCGACCTGTCTGCTAAAAAATGCGCCTCTAGGAGTTGTACCTCCAAAATCCGGATCGGAGATTTGTCCCTGAGGTTGGATATTTTCTGCGTTAATCATGCAGATAAAAACTTGTCTACTGAATGTAATAAACTGTGCCTGCCCGTTCTGCTTAAAAAAAATATTCGAAAATATGACCCGAATGAAAAATGTGCATCCAAGGGATTTACCACAAGATAAGGATATTTTCATAAATTAGCGACTGAAAGAAAACCTAGTTTCCAAATTCCAGGTTTCTATACCCACCAGCAACAGATTCAGCGTAGCAAAACATTAGAATGTATGGCTTCCAAAAATTACCCGCATGAGATAAATCCTAGAATTAAGATTTTCCCTTTTGATTGCATACCAGCAGGTACCGATTTATTAACACTTTCGTGCATGAATTTTTAAAGCAAACAAAAATATGCCATTTATGGTTTAACGTTTAGGGAGGTACTCTGCCGTAGTAGTTTCTACTGCTAGAAAGCAACACTGAACGGATTATGTGCCTTTGAGTTGACTGCACGCACCAAAAGTTTCGAGGTATGAGTACCATGACTGAAAATTCATAATTATCGCGAAAATTTTGCCGTCCACTACAGTGGACACCATGCACGAAAGGGTGAAGATTTCAGCCTAATGTCTATGATTCCCGGGAGCGAAATATTTTTCTTTGGAAAGGTCCATCCCAAAATGTGCTCCAAGGCAACGCATCCCAAAAACAGTTTTCTTGTGCCTGGAACCTGCTTCTCAATAAGTACCGATGCTCCAAGTTTTACTTTCTATGTCTCTTCGTTTGTTAGCGCAAAAAAATGAAGATGCGCCTCTCCAAAAAAAACTACCTGAAATCCGTATAATCAGAGCTTTTTGAATACCAAGTTTGATATTAAGAAAATGTTCAATAATGCACTTTGAGATCGGGTAATCATTCCTTTGCATCACAATCAGGTGCTTCGAGACTCATTGAGACTTTAAAACTGGTGTGTCCAACCTAAGGTAAAAGTGTCTGAACTTTACTTTTTCCACATTTAAATTCGAACATCACATTATAGGCGATATCAGAAGTCATCATGCTAGGAAGGGCTACCTTTGTAGCACTTATATCTCCTCGTGTCGTGCTGCCATGAACAAAAAAAGGAGGCTTCCAGCTTGTACCGTTGAGATGGAACGAGCGAAAAATAAAACTCGGCCAGCTTAACTGTCCGAACATTGGTAGTTTTACCCTACCTTATTTTGTGCAGACAAATATGGGACGTATACAACACTCACCCGTGCAACGCCGGGTACCTCTGCTCGGATTCTATAATTGGAAAGCGTACCCATTCGGCACAACAATGTCGGGTCAACTTTGAGCGAGGGTTCATTTTTATACGTCGCAATGTTTCTACTACGGTGTGCGAAAGGTGGATTCAATGTTGCCGCAATGTTTAAATGAAAAACAGTTCAACGATAAAAAATTAGGATCATGTGTCACGTTTTGCCAATTATGTCACTTGTAAAGATTTGGGCATTACCTCTTCCTTTTCCTGAGCCTAAGCTACCGCTAATATTGATTAGAACTTGAAATTACTCTCATGAGTGCAATTATGCTACGGAAGGGTCCATCCGAGTAACTTCTTAACTGGATCAGAATTGGAGTTTAGTACTTGAATAAAACAACTCATTCCTTCAATACTGTCTCAAACTCTTCAAATTTTTGTCAATGTTGACTCGACGTTGTTGGGCAGAATGAGTAGATCATTCTTGGCACCCAAGCCTACAATAGATCCTTAAAATAGTTCCAGGCTAAACATCACATTCAGCTTGGCCTTGTCTCACATGTTGTCATGGGATCTTTTCATCTTTCATCCTTATCTATCCCTTGGGAAAAAGTAAGCTAAAACGTAAATAAAACATCTACTAATGCCGATAGCAGATATTCTAATAATCCTGCGGGTGATGAGAACGACGAACACTTCCCAGTACAACTAAGAAGTCTGAGCTTCCATGAGAAGTCAAGATTAGAAAACTGGTGCCGTACGGTAGCAGTTATCTAGATTGTACAGATGTGGCGCCAGTGGACTCGCAACTCAGATTGACCAGAGCAGGATCAAATGTCAACGGGTTTGCGATATAAAAACGAATTCTAATAGAGGAAATGCAGGCGTTTCGACCGATATATCACACAGAAATTTGGGTTCAAAATGAATGTGAAAGGTCATCCTGGTCAGGTCAAAGGTCAACTCAAACAAAATTAAATGATTTTCCTCATCTACAAAACATGCGAAAACGAATAAGTTAGTTATAATTATAATAAAGGTTTGAAAGGAGTTCAGCTGGTGCCTCCACGTGAGAGCAAAGAAATACGAAGGGAAACTGACTTGCCGAGTTTAGAATTGGTCCCTCTCCAGAAGAATACGTAGCCCCGCGAGTCCAGCATGAAGACCGTCACCTTTCCATAAACACTTTTGGTGACGGTTATTCTTTCCGCATGTTTCAAAATAAAATCTCAGAAGAGCCCAGCTTCCATTAAGAAGCTCCAAAGCAAACCTCAAAATTGGTCTTTCTGCCAGTATAGGAAATCAGAGTCAAACGTTAGAACTGACTTGAATTTCGTGATTGGCAACTTCCGACACTGGTAATCATGGAAAAGCAGAAGAGAACGAGGAACTCCAGCCAGCACGACTGTCGCTACTTCACAAGTGGCTACATATTTGATGTCCATGAGGGGGTGGCACTGTACTTGCTCCAGGTAAAACACGGAATTTAAAGTCATCATACCCGTATTTCTCAATATACAAACGAAGGCAAAGGGAATCCTTACCGACTTGGGTTCCTTGATTACCTCCTCGCCTCGCTTGTGGCCTAACTGCCCCTCATTCCTGCCAAATGTGTACATTACAGAAGAGGAATAGATAATGGAATGGAAAGGACCACACGCGATCCCTTCGATCGAGTTGGATCCACGCCCTTCACAAACTTGTATCTCTCTTGGAGTCAGGACACGATCGGTAGTATCCAAAGAACATCCCAGCTGTCCGTATTCATTCCTTCCGCAGCTGAAAATCTGCAAGCAACATGAGCTGTGCCAACTCTCATTTGACTGTCAGCAACAGAGACACCATAGGACAGCATGCCGTACCATCTTGCTCTCTGTGAGAAATAGAGAATGATCAGCGCCGGTGGCAACCACAACGCACTTGTGCGTCGTCTCGAAGCAGGGGATCAGTTTCGGCTCTGGCCGATTCTCCTCCGTGCCTAGTCCCAACCGCCCTCCCAGACCACGTCCGCAGCTGTAGACTTTCCCTCCTCTTGCCAGGAACAGAGTGTGATTCTCGCTCATTGATACCTAACGTGAGATACACGAATTTTGAATGAGAACATGTAAAACACACAGTATTATTAGACACGAGGAAAGACAGTAACATGAACACGGTAAACACTGAACACAAGACGTGCTCAGACATCCCTGACACCCTTGACATGCAACCTGGCAAACCTAAACAAAACACATATTGCACTTTACCTGGTTTCTTAATAGTCAACATGAGCTGGAAACTCACATCATAAATCTGGACTTGCTCATTTTGAGCCGGGTCACTTCCGAAGCAGTCGAACGTATCTCTTTGTGCCCTGCTTTCAAGGACTTCCATGCCCAGGTTGTGGTTGGCATTTCATCCCCAGACGTGCACTTCCGACTTGCAAAACACTTCGTACTTGGAAAACACAAAATGGGGCGGCCGATAGCTAAAAACCTGATCCAGTGCCGTGTGATCATCATAATCTGCCTCATGCAGCAATGCTCCGTTCTGAAACAAAAATCGTTCCAACTTCGTCAGTGCCTGAGTCGAGGAAGGAAGGGAAACATGGATGGTCATTGAACGACCTTCATGAGTGCGATCGCCTCTGGAATGTCGCCGTGGATGAGACTGTGTCGCAGGGCAGAAAAGTTTGACTCCACGACCTTCCGCTGCGACTTGGACATGATGCGACTTTTAATTGAAGAGGCTCGTAATTGTAACTACAGTACCTGTTGGGGGATTTGGTTCAGCTCACATCGTCCAGCCCATGAAGCAATGTTGCAGAGCTGCTGTTCTGTTTCCTGTTAACACAAGTCTATCACTTTGGTCTTATTTCTATCATTTCTAAGCAAGCTACTTGGTTTTCTTCGAAGAGAGGTCGCCGACAATGAGAGAAATTCGAAGAACCATATCTTGAATGACGTGTCAGAGAGGCTTCCAGATGCCAGCGAGAAGCCCTGATTATTTGCTTCCAAAGGTCAAAGGCTTTCACAATTAAACTTTTATTAGTCTTCTGAGACACGATTATGAGAGAGCCATGAAACCACGAGCGACTCTATTTCCGTAAGGTTTAGCATATGAAATGTGTTCTATGTTCCCTGCGGGGAACTGATATCAGCTATAGTTTTCATCTTGAAAACGGCCTTCGACTCGACTTAGATTTAGAGATCGTCTTTGACTCGACCGGATATTCAGAAAACGCATATCTCTTGCTGTCATCCGTGTCTTTAGAGGAAATGTATGCGATTCGATTATTGGTAGGACTGTACCGATGTATCAGCTAACACCGGTATTGCCTGTCGGCGTTGGATTATCGGCCACATCGGCCATCGGCAGGTTTGGAACCGGCCGGTGCCGATGTTCAAAGAAGAACGTGCTGAACGAGGAAAAAAAACTACGTGAACGGGGCTCGGTAAACGATTCTCAACGGCAATAGGAAAAAATTAGGGCTATCGCAGTTCACCCATCGATGTATTGATGTCATTTTCAATAGTTGAAGTATGGTACGCTTTATAACCGTCGCGAAGGTCACACCTCCCACTCTAACACCTCAAATAACAAGCGACAGAATATGGATGGCGGATATATGACCGCCCCCCGATCGAGGCAAGAAAAATGGGGGAAACGAGGCAGAAACCTGATCCCGATCGCAGTGAGGAAAAACTGAATCCGCCGACACCCCCTCTCCCTCCCTCCGCCGGCATCGATGCACTATCGACGTTTCAGGTCTATGCATGGGTGTATTCGAAACACCCAGCGTGGAAGCAATAATAAAATTTAACGTGCATTCATAAGTCTAATTGATTTTTTTAATTTTGTCAAATGCAAAGGAAAAATGGCTTTCACTCAACTACATATGATTTTATTTCATCACGCTCGCGATTAACAACACAAAAGCTACAAATGGTAATCACAATAAATGGCAAAATATAGAGCGACAAAAAAAAAACATTTTTGAGTTGTTGAATATTGAAAACATCAATTTCTTACGCAATATCGACCGTTGTTAATTAGGAATTCTGAAAGAGCAGAGACTTTGAGTATAGACTTGGAATCCATCGCCCTCCACCAAGTCGCTCGTTGAATCCGTGACCAGTTGGCATGATCCGTCCGATTCGCGATAGTTGTAGGCGTTGCACGATGGGTTCTGAATAACACATTTGATGCTGCACATCCCGTGACACATCTCACGGGATTCCGAACTCACGCTACTGTATTTCTGGTCCCGATGAATGGCGTGAAATGTAACGAAATCTCCTGAGCCGACCATGTGCGACAAAATAAAGAAGAAAGCGAGTGCATCCTTCATCGTCCAGGCTTTCGATGTCAGTCAGGAGAGCGGGAATCTGCAAGGACGTTGATGGAAGAAGGCAAAGTAACGCATTCAGTTATCCATGTGAACGCCTTTGTATATACCACCATCTTCACGATGGTCACTGCCCGTTCCAGTTTCTCGGCGAGTGAATATTACGCTGTAGATTCGCACTAAAAGCACCAGCTCGCTGAGTGCTCCTTTAGCAAATAGAAGCCCTTAGGTCGCAATTCATGAATAATGGAAGACTTGTGGTCATCATCGAGAGTATAAGAAAGCACATAGGTAATTATGAACGTATCTGATTCTTTCATTCTATTAGAACGAGTTGATTTAACTTGAAGAATCTCGACCAGTTCCTCAGTTGAACGTTTTTATTACCCAATGTCTGCTGCTAATGATTCATTAAATAAACTCAAATTGCAAAAGTTTGATTCTGACTTTCACCTATCCAAATTTAGTGTGCCCACTTGAGAGGCCCATGTAGAAATTTCATCCTAGCACTCCCAGAAATCAACTTGAGCAGGCCTCTTCTTTAAGAATCCAGGACACTAATAGCAATCATTTTACACGAATCGTACGAAACTATATTCACCAATTTACAGTCACATTTAGTGCTTGTGTTGTATTGGTAATGTAGGAGGTACTTTTATAAGGATGATGAAATCACCGTAAAAGATAATGCGCATGTCCGGCATAACGCAATAAAAGGGTCGCGCGGGAGAGTCGCGGGGGTCGGGGTCGGTGTGTCAAGCGAGTGAGTCGGACAAGGGAGTCGAATTGTAGGATGGTGAAGAGAAACCTGAGAGAAGACGCGGGATATTGAGTGGACCCTTGACGTCAGTGCTGGAGATCGTAAGCAGTCTGTCACCCCAACCATACCACTCGGGTTTATATTCAGGTATTGCTCATTGAGTATCTATTGCTTAACAAGCGTTTGAGGGAACAGAGTTATGAATTTTAATCCCATATCCATTTTCTGGTTCTCATTACTATTGACCTCTTTTCAAGTTGGTTGTCATAATCAAGTAATTGTATATTTAAGGAGTCAACGGAGTCATTATGAACCTCGAACACGCTGGCGACCTCTTCGTGATAATCATTAACGTTAAATCACGTCGGGGCCGCCTACAGTAATGTGGTTCATATTGTGACGGATTCTATTGTCATCCGCACGAGACATCGATGGTCCACTTTCAATGAGCCGCGCCATGGTGAATTGCTTTTCAAATTAAGCTATAATGCTTTGTAGGGATTCCTTGAAATGTCTAAATTAACAACAGGGTTTTGGAAAAATGGATATGTTGTGAGTAATCTACTCTGCGACCGCATCGGCTGAATCAGGTTCTTGGCCTAGCAACCGGGACGTCCAAGTTTGAATTTGACTGGTGGCAGGTGGAGTTCTTTTTTCTCTCACGATATGCATTTTTAGCTGCAGTTTGAGGGTTACGAAGTTCGCCCCGAGAGGTCACACGTGCATAAAAAAACGATATTTTCAAGAATCATATATCATGTAACAAAGGGAATAAAAATTAAATATTCGCGATTTTGAAGTTTCCTGTGAGACTGGTTAACTCTGAAATGTTTCAATATTTTTTTCTGAAATGGACGAGCGTCACCCCCGGTCAGTTGGCATGGAATGACCCTATAGGAAGCATGCTTTCCCATATAGAATCCAATCGTACTGTACTAAGTGCGGTAGTTCTGTAGGAGTACTGTATGTAGGGCCTAACTTTCAGCATCTGTAACGAAATGGTTTATGTATATTGAAATAGGTCAAACATTACATATCCTGGATGTGATGTCTCGAGAACCAGAGATTAATCCTTTTTGGCTAAATTTGCTCTGGAAGTCGAGGATTAAGTTCATTTTGAACGGAAGAATGTAAGGCAAGGCCTAGCCCGAAGACAGTCAGTTGGTTTACCCTAGTCCTAACGAAAGCGAATTCTGCAGGGGGGGTTGCGGTTGAAGTTGAGGTTGAAAAAAGGGCAAGCCTTTGACAAATGGCTTTCACTCAACTACATATGATTTTATTTCATCACGCTCGCGATTAACAACACAAAAGCTACAAGGGGTAATCACAATAAATGGCAAAATACGGAGCGACGAAAAAAAAATCACTTTTAGAGTTGTTGAATATTGAAAACAATAATTTCTCACGCAATATCGACCGTTTTTTACAACAAAGCCCAGATAACACAGACAATTGATCGTGCAATGTAACTTCTAAAGCTAACAGCAGTATTACTCTGAAACAAAGTAACTTAGTGCACTTGCTATTCTCAGTGTAAATGATTTGACGGTAACTTTGCTCGCCCTATCTAAGAAATCAATCAAATATGAAGACAATGAATGAGTTCAAAAGGTATAATGAAGCACACTTCAAAAACCCATTTTTTGCGTTCACTTCACAAACATGACCCACTGTTTGCGAGCCTTCAGAACTGGAATACACACATGACAAGTCCGCATTCATTCCAGGTCATACTGCCAATGAGATCATCTGGGAGCAGGGCATTCTCGAGTAAGTTCCGAAAATGAATGCAGCGATGAACAGCGAGCGAAAGATTCCCCAAATAAGTGAAAAACCAAGAAATGGAAAAGTGGATGTCAGGGGAGTCGACGGAGGGTTCAATTCCCTCCTACCCATTCAGAGGGAGCAGTCGCTTAGCTGATGGGCTTGCACAGCCCAGGGAAATCTTCGGATTTCTCCAAGCATTCTTCTCCTGAGTCGTTTCCTCTCCCGGCCTTATATAACACCTGATCCCTCACGAGTGTGCTATTAGGAAAAAAGCATGAGAATCGGAATCCAAGATTCCCACAGCAAAGACCTCACACAAAATGAAAATCGAGTTAGTCCATACCCGTATGGAAATTTGCATCCGTAAACGATGAATCCGTCACACTTGGCAGAATGGCAGCTCACCTGGTTCAAACAAACTCATGAGGGTGCGAGGAACACCAATGCCCTAGCTTACCCTTATGGTGAACAGGACAAAAACACATCTTGTTCATGCTCAATCATTCAAAAAAACCGTATAGGTCCTACCCATCAACGGTGCTCTTCTAATTCTTAGAAGAAAAAACGGTCACTTAAAAGAAAATATCTCCTTTTTTGACGAAGGTCTCTTGAGAACGGGATTCTTCGACTGGGTTACTGAACCCAGTCATGGATATTTAGTATTTCTTGGAAAAGAGAACGACTGCTTACTCGTTAAAGAAAACATTACGCATTTGCTATTGCTCTGCTTTTGTGGCTGTGGCTGCGGCTCTGGCTCTAAGTTTGTAAGATAGCGATTCGTGTTGTTCGCATTGATAGATTCCCAAAGAAAGCTTGCATCAATCTGGATTTTCACGTATACAGATCCAGAT